CATGTGCACCTCTTATCCTTTCTCCTGGAAGACAGCACACCCTTTCATTTCTAGATTGTCCCTGGTGACAGCACTGCCAATCCTTCCCCCAGGGAAGCTATATATAAATGTCTTCCCAGTATTGGTGTGAACTTTGGTTCCTCTCTTTTCTATTCTTCCTTTTGTCTGAAGATTTCATGCATGGTTTCACTGAAAGTTGAGAGTGGACAACCAGAAATTTTGTCCTGAGCCTTCAGCAGCAGTGATTTTTTTTTTTTAATGGCTCATGAATGGATTTTAGATAAAACTTGCTAATTTTTCTTTCTACATTCATTAAAACCATGATAGAACTGATACAGAAATAAAACTAAAACTGAGGGTCTGACTTCGGAACTTGTCCCGGGGAATGAAAGTTTCCGTGGGTGCCACAGTTTATATACAATCACCTGAGTACAGTTTGTGTACAATCATCTTGTTCCTCCTGAAGCACTGGTCTTTGGCTTTATCCATTGTCTCTTCCTCTTTTGTGGGTCTAGTCACCTCCCAGTCCGACTTCCTTCAGTTTCTATTTCCCTTTCTTGCTCTCCAGAGTAGTAACTCAATTTCTTGTTCCTCATTTTAATATCTCCTCTACCTTTCTTGTGGCCATGTACTTCCATAGGCCATATTCACCATCAGGTGTCTTGTCCTCTTGTTCAGGTATCTAAAAATCTTGAGTTGTCCATGAAGTCTCCTTTCCTCTCTTCTCTTTCATGTCTCCCAATCCACATCTGAATTCCATCATTGTCTCTAGCTGTATTGATACTCCTTGGATCTTTTTCTTGCATGAGCTCTATCAGGAAATATTTCATGCATAAATTGATTCTTTGTCAGGTACCCCCCCAAGAGTATTGTACATTGTGCAGCTTCTGGATGCACTCAGCTTCCATGTATCCAGCATTCTGTTCCACTGCTCCTCGCTCAGTAGCCATTATTGTCTTCTCTTCTTAGTCCCTACCTTTCAAGAAAAAAAAGGAAAACTCCCCATCCTCCCATACAAATGCCCCTATTTCCTACTCTCTGTTTGCAGACCCAATTGCTTTTTCAAAAACCTGAAGGAAGGTGCTTCCAAAAGGGCAGAGTTTATTTTAATGTAAGTACTATATTTCTTTTTCTGCCATGTTCTCCTTCCATTTTTTGGTCATAGAACCCGAGTCTTATGAAGTTTTGATTGTAGTTTACAATATAAATATATTATATTCCTATTTTTCTTCTACAACGGCCTCATTTCCTTGCCAGTACCTTTTAAAAAGTTGACTCTTATTAAAAAGATAGAAGCCAGGGATGTTGCAAATATCCCTGGTATTTTTTAACTTACTTGCATCTCTTAGCAATTCACAAAAAATGTGACATCTGTGATTTTGGCAAAAGCTCTCAGCAAAACATCCAAGAGGGCAGTTGTCAGAAGTTGAATCCTACTTACCATCCAGACATGCAGTGTAGAGCATGCAGGAGAAAGTTGTCCCTTACCTAGCCCATGCTTAGACAGTAGTTTTTCTCGATGCCTGCAAAGGCCAACTACAATATCTGGGTCAGGGGACATAAAATAACAACAAATACCTTGGAATCATCAAGGTGTGTACTTTGGTAGCCCATGACCCTGAAATTATTACTGTTACCTTTCTTTCCTTTCTCTCTCTTTTTTTGTTGCACAGCCACTTGTTATATCTTGTCTTAGGCCTTGTCTATGTATACCCTAGCACTCTTGTATATTATGGGGGTGAATGGGTGGAGGGGTATGAGTGAGTGGATATAGGGTTTGTGGAGGGCTGTGTGTGTGTGTGTGTGTGTGTGTATGTGTGTGTGGAAATGTGTGGATGTGGGTGAATATGGGAGGTTTATGAGGGGGATTTTATGGGGATGTGTGGTGTGGGTGGGTATGGGGTTTGTGGGGGCTGTGAGGTGTGTGGAGGGGAGGGTGGCTGAGGGTGTGTGTCTGGAGAGGTGGGGTGAGGTGTGTGTGGGGAATGTGGGTGCATGTATGGTGAGGTATGTGCATGTAGCAGTGAATGGGGCTCTCCCCCAGAGGCACTTGGTTGTGTGTGTGTATGTGGGGGTGCATGTGAGGAGGGGTGTGGGATTTGTGGGAGGCGTGGGTGAATGCAGTGTTTGTGGGGTGTGTGACTGTGTAGGGGGGAGGGTGTCATTGTAGGGCTTGTAGGGGAGGGTTTGTGGATATAGTGGGGTGCTCATGGGAGTCGCCCCCCACCTGTACCTCGCTGAGCCACTCAGCACCTGCCTCTGCCCTGCAACACCCTGGAGCCCACGCACACTGCAGCACCTCCCCACCACTGCCAACAGCCAGTGCACAGACCCAGCCCTTGTCCCAAACCTGCTCCAGAATCACCCTGGCAGGACCTAATCTGCCAGAACCCACGCACACAGCCCTGACTTCAGCCTGCCCCATGCCTGTTCCACACCACCCTCCTGCAGCATGTCTTGCCACCCCCTGGGCATGCCCATGGTTTGGGCAGGTTCATGGCTAGACTGCCTTTATAGGCAGCTCAGGCAGCAATGGTTCCTTCTGGCTGCTGCCGCTGCTGGCCCCAGCCCCATGGTACTGGTAGGGACCCATGGCACAGCCCTGACCTGGCCCACCCCACCCAGCGCCTGCTCTGGACTTGCCAACACTGAGCAGTGGCAACAGCAGTGGCTGCTGGGCAGAAAATGATCCTCAGTGCAGGGGAAAAGTGGCCCCTCCCCCTTGCCACTGCCGGGCTGTTCCTGGTGCAGCTGCCTGGACCCTGCACTGGGCTGCTCTGCATCTCCACTGCCATCACCACCCCCTCTGGGCTGCTCAGCAAAGCAGTGGTGGCAGTGCAGAGCAGCTGCAAGGCAGCCCAGAGTGGGCCCTGGGTGGCTGCAGTGGGAAGGGCCTGGCAGTGGTGAGGGAGGGGGGGTGCTGCTTTCCTCCATGCTGAGGAATAGTTTCTGCCCAACAGCCACTGCTGCTGATCAGCCTAGGCAGGTGAGTCCAGAGCAGGCATAGGGTGGGCTGGGCAGGGGCTGTGTGCATGGGTCCCTGGGGCCAGTGGTGCTGGCAGCCGGAAGGAGCCACTACTGCTTGGGTTGCCTGGAAAGGCAGTCCAGCTGTGCAGCTGCCCCAGCCCTGCTGTATGTCCAGAGGGCAGCAGGACGTGCCATGGGCAGGTGCTGCCTGGACCAGGTGGGACCAAGGGACGCACCGCAGGCTGGACAGAGTCCTTCCAGATCTGGTCCATGGGCCATATTTTTCCCATCCCTGTTATAAATCATGGTCCTTGGTGTAATCTAGTTTATATTGAAATCCATGATCCATTGGATCAGGATTAGGCTCCTTACCTATTAAGCGTGAGCCCAACCTGTTTCACAAGAGCTTGGGAAAGGGAAATTCATGGGCCAAGGTATGAGCATCTCCTCTAGTGCTGGTATTGTAGATGTAGGGATATAAATCAGAAGCCGAGAGTGGCAGCAGCAGTTTGTCACTAAGCTTATTAAAGTGTAAAATGTAGCTTTTTAGAATGATTGTATGAGTTTACTTGTAATAATGGTTTGAGGAGAAAGACAGAAAAGTTGCCTGTGGATTAGTCAGTTATGAATTAAAAGCAAAGACCTGGGAGTTGGGTCATTCCTAAGGCAGCATGACAAGTAATTGTGGGCAAGTTCTTTAACCACTCTGTGCCTTGGATAATTATGCTGACCTACATAAGAGACTATTGACAAGATTGATTAATTAGTATTTGAAAGCCCTTGGGGTTCTTCTGATGGTAAGCATAACAGAAATGCAGACAATATGAGTGAAACTTAGCTATTTCTACCTTGTCAATCCTTGACACAATATGAGATGGAAGAAAATTACTTGCTGTGGTAATATCTACCTTTAAATCACTTGCCAACCTGCAGGCATGCTGAACTCTACTGTTATATCTGTATGCACTGCCTGCAGGAAACAGCACATCAGGAATGATGTAGTAATATCAGCTCCTAGACTTTCTAATGCACCTGTACTTCAGGTTGTAGTTTTCTGCTTTGTTGAAATTGGGGGACTTTATGGCTTAGAAGACAGGAAGAGGCTTTTAGTTCTCAGGGTTTATCTATATTGCACTCAAATGTGTAATGACTACCTATATAAAAATGCTCAAGCTTATGTTGCACTAGGTTGTTCAAGTACTCTTAAAAGTGCTACTGCAGCAGCACATGCAAACATACAGGTTCCTAGGAAGCTATTGTCTTCTGTCTGCTTAGTGAATTATACAAAATGAATTTTGTAGACTATTCCGTTCTCAGTGGCTTAAAGTCTACATTAAGAAAATACCACCATAACTGACACGTGTGGACAATGTAAGTTCAGAAGCCAGCAAGAGAAGGGCATGGATACTTAACGAGCCTCTCTTATGGGTGGTCCCTGCATGTCAGGGCTAAAGTGTATTGGTTAAAGAAGCTGGAAAATGCTTTTTGCAGTTATGCTTCTTCAATACAACTTCTGTACAAACAGCTCCACAAAATAACTCTACACAGTAAAATTACTGTGCCAGGGAGCAGTGCCCTCAAGCATGCTTTCCTGCTCTGGGCACACTGTTTCTTCAGCCAGAAGCAGAGTAGCTAGGCCTCCAACACTATGGGTGGCCTGATTCACTGACATTGCTGAGTGACAGTGCCAATTAGCCCTCCCCCCATATAGTCCAGTCCACTAGAGTTCCATGTAGCGATGACTATATGCTACATGTTTTGGAGGCAATCTGCCTGGTAGGCTGAGGCATACCTGAAGTTACCACTACTCCCTAGCTTCCATGTGAATTTATAGTTGCTGAAAGCTGCTGTATGGACGGTCCTGGATGCTAAGTATTCAGAGCAAATATGGCCATGGTCTCCAGGGTTGTCCATACAACAATTTCAGCAGCTTTAAATTCACATCCACATTTAAGGAAGAATTATAAACAATGTACTAAGTCCTTCAGTTGTTGCTATGCTGCAGATAGAAGTATACATTATAAAGTACTTACACTGACAGAGAGCACCGGTCCAACTTTGTACATAGAGTACCGATCTGTCCCCGCACAAATATCTTTCACATCTTTCCCATCTCCTTCAAATCCAAGTTCTTTGTGCATGAACTGAGCAAAGGCTTTCATTCGATTTGGGCTGCCACCAACACAGACAAACTAAATATAAAATATATAGATACCCATACCATTTTAGCTAAAGCTGGAATAAGACTTAGCCTGCATTTGTAATATTTATAATGATCTGTTTCATCTACTCAGAGAGAGCAAATGTGAATGCACGAGTAAACTGACTGTAAGATGCATTTGTCTACTCATCCAGTTTTGACATGGAAACTGTTTTTAGAATCATGTTGCATTTTACATTATTAAATGTGCCACCATGCTGTCTGAGATAGGCTAATAATTATAAGACCCTTATCCTAGGTAGATAACAATTTTTTGCATTCCATTCCTGCCCTTTGGGAGGACCTGTATTATTCTGGTTCTGAGCATGAAGGTTTCATGGTTGCAGAATGGAAATAGGACTTGGGAAAATGCAATTCTGTTTCTATTATGTTTTTCTAAGGTATGTATCCCCTAGTGTCTAAGATTTGGTGATAACTTGATATTCTTTTGTTCCTGTCATCTATCTTTCTGTGCCTCGATTTGCTCCTCTTTAAAATGAAATGAATTCCTCTTATTTCCCTGATTGAGGTGCTGTCAGGCTTAGACTTTTAGGGTGCCTATACACAAGCTGGGAGGCTGCCCAAATGTGCTGTGATCAAGTCTGCTGGACTGTGGTAATTACCATGCTTGAGCCAGCCGCTGCGTCTTGTGTATCAGTATCCCCACACTTTCAAAATGGTGGCGAGAGTGCTTTAACTAAAGCTTGTTTGATGAGCTTTAGATAAAGCACTGCTTCGCTATTTTGAAGTCCAGGGATGCTGATACACGAGATGCTCTGGGCACTTTAGTGTGGCTCTTGGAGCTGCTGTAATTAAAGCCCCTCCCAAGACTCCTGGAGCACATGTGAAAATGTTCTTAAAGTTTGGAAAAGTGATTTGTGATCCTCAGATGGAAGATACTGTGTTAGTATACAAGTGCAAACTATTATTGTTATATGTTAGGTTCATGGCTAGCTTATGGGAGTGAACAAAGCAAACATGTTTTCTTTTAGTAAGAACCATACAATATCAGTCTCATAAAATAGGCAGTAACATTAAAAATTGTATAAGGTGTCACAAATACTTGGATACTAATTCCCAGCCGAGTAAATTCAAAATAACTTTGGTGCAATGCATGCACAGCAAAGCAGAAACAGATGTTAGAGTAGCTTGTGGTCTAATTTATTCTCTGAACACTGTCAACAAGAATTACAGAGCATCGCTGAAGGCTTTGAGACTATAAAGTCAGAAAGAAAAAGGACAAGATTTCACAAATTATTGTATTTTTAAAAAAAACCCCTAACTCTACATTTCAGAGGCAGCTAATTGTTCAACTCTGACAGCCAGGTTTCAAATCAGGATGCTCAGAAATAAAAGGAAGTTTTGGACCACCAACATGATCTCTAGTGGATGCTTGTTCATATTGTAAAACTCCTGCACCTTCATACACTTAGAAAAAGCCTAGGGCTGGAGCAGTTTCAGGTCAGAAATGAAATACATGGCAGGTGGGGGTGGGGAGGCAGGTGCAATGGAAAAGCTAACTGCCAGTACTAGTACTAGGAATTTGCTTTCAACACTTTTGTACCCTAAAAAATATTGTAAGAAGCTTTCGTAAAAAACTGGAGTCATAATAAGTCGTCATATATGAGCTTAGATCTCAATTGGGACATGCATCATCCTTTGTCATTTGTCTCAGACAGACCACAACCAGACATTGCAGGCCTAATGTCCTTCCCCTGAGGAACTCCACTGATGGTCTTATGCGCTTATGCTACTTTCTTATGGCAGACTTGAAACTTGGTTTTACTGAGATGTATTTTATCGAAAAGAACTTTTTATTTAGGTTTCTGAGCAGATTAGTGAATCACAGAATTATGTGGGTTTCTGTGTGAAAAGCTCTTGGGATAGGATTGTACCTTTCAGAGCAAAAATTCCTTTGGGAACAGCGGCCGAAGGCATTCTGGGATATAATTTAGCTCTGCTGTCATGGCAGCAATGGGGCACATCCTTCTTTCCTTACTAATAAAACACATAGACTTTGAAATGACACCTATGATGATGGGCCACGTTCATCCCTTGAAATCAATGTTCTTTCTTTTACTAAGTCAGTAGAACTACTCCAGGGAAGAAAGTAGCTCATTGTGCCTGTTATAAGTTTAGCTTTTGCATATACATCTTTTATTGAGAAAAGAAGGGCAATCTCCATTGCCGAAGCTACAGCACAGTTTCTCAGTTGCTTCTCAGAAAGGCAGCATTTCCTTTGGGAGCTTTAACTCATTCTCCTCGAAAGAGCCAAGGAGAATGATAAAGGGATCTGTGAAATCTGTGATAAGAAAGGGGAGGAGGAATGAGATTATTTGTGTTCCAAGTTGTCGCTTTGCATTTGTTGTTTACCTTTATGTCACCAAACATCGCTGGTAGGTTGTGTGTTTTTGTTCCTAAATCTAAGTGATAGAGAATGTCTTCATCCATCAGAGCCAAATGAGGATTTTTAACATGAACAAACCCATTTCTGGAGGGGGAAAAAACAACTTTTAAGAATCTTTGTGGACAAAGTCAAATCAAACAAGGGAATTCATGACATCTGAGCCAGTATCAGGACTATAATATAGTAATTTGGGTTGCCTTGTTATAATGCTATGTATGCCCAAGAGACCTAGGCTATGTGTCATAGGCCCAACCACTGCGGGGGAGACCAGGTATTTTCTTCCCATTCTGTAGATGTTCCTCTTAATATAAGTTCAGGACTCTTTCACCCTCTCTTAGTCCCCAACAACTTTTATGCAATTGCACCACTACTCTTTTCCCGTAGTTGTAATTGGCAAGTAGAAAAGAGTTGTATCAAGAAGCACCCCCATTTCTGCCACTGTGATAGCAGACAGCTGGATCTGGCATTGTCATTTCTAAGGCAGGGCTGAAGTGTGGTGACCACAGAGGAACTCATCAGAAGAGGTCACTAGGTCTCACTAGCAAACTGTAATCACGATTACAGAAGGAATGAGTGGAGTGGACTGCTTAGGCTTCTTCCTTAAATACACAACCAAAGGAAAAGGGCAGGATCTTGAGGGGGAAGCAAAGTAAAGAGACAGGGATGAAAGAATGGAGGTAGGGAGAGAGACTGAAGTGAAGAACTGAAATGAGAGAGAGAGAAAATAAGGCAGTGCTTAGGTGAGAGTAAAGGGAAAATGTAAAAATGATACAGATCACAAGGGGTGTAGGCTAGGGTGAGAGGGGTGTAGATAAGCCCAGACACACTGCAGTGAAGGAAGATCAGAACACGTAGGAAAACCTTTGAGGCCACAAAAGGGAGAGGGAAAATGGAAGGAAACAAGATGAACAGGTGAAGTTAAGTCTGGGAAAATGCATCCATTCTGCCAAAACCTAAGACCGCTGCCGCAGGAAGAACAGACACAGACATCAGGCACTACGGGAACAGAATGGAAAGAACTAACAGCTCAGATCTTAAGTAGGTGAACAAAGTGGGGAGGTGGCAGGCCAGGCCACCCCACTGCATTCATCTATTCATTCAGCAACAACGAGCTTCCGTATTGTATCCATTCCACATAAATGGTTTCCAGGCCCGGTCCTTTCAGCTGCCACCTATATCTGGGATTCAAATCCAGCTTTACCCATGAACTCTCTTAGCCCTTTCATTGCATTCTGCACTGGCTACTGTGCCAGCAACAGCTTGTAATTTACTGCCAAGACTTTGTTTCTGGTCCCCTCTTGGGCTTTAAGCAGCTGGTTCCTCACAGGCTTCTATTTCAAAAGACTGCAGTAGGCGGACCCAGCCCACCTACACTTCCTGCATTACAGCCAGTGGCTGTTGTGGTAATGTTTAGGGAAAAATCTTACTGTTTTAATTATTGCCAGATAAATGGCCAGTGAAATATTTTCACTCTCAGTTAAAACCTTAGTGTTGCATTAATATTTTTCTTTGCATTTATACAGTTATCAGAAAATACCTAAAATATGTTGTAATTATCTCCAAAAAAGTTCTGCAAAAAGAAAATTACCATTAATATTTCCTACTAATCTTAACAATGAGAAAAACCTTAAGTCTTTTTTAACACAATTCATCCAGAAATAGATGACCAGTAATATACTTATGCCCTAATTCTGGATTAGTTCATATAGCAGAGTTTGCTAAACTCTTAACAAATGATGTGATTCCATGTTGTCCCAAATCCCTGTCCCAAATCCCTGAATTAGAGCTTAAATTACAATAAAACTACTAAGACAGTAGAGTTCTACTTTGCATTCCTTTTCCAGTTGCTATAATAAATTTAGCAGGACTAAATACCAGTGAAGGTCAATATTTAAATAAAGGCTAGTGCAAAACAGAAAATGCACATCTAATCGTATCAAAACAAATCTCAAACTCTCTCCTTTACTTACCCAGCATAACCTTTTTTTTCAGTCATTACGGGTTTGTTGGATTCAGCAAAGAGGGATGTTATGAATTCCCACTTTCAGAAAAACACTCCTGGGTTGACTCAAGGTAAGGAAAATACCTTCTGTTACTTCAGCTGCTAAGTTTTAGACTCATGTAAGACTATTTGAAGCAGCTCCTCAGGAAGTTAAATACATTCCAAGATAAGTAATGCAACTTTTTTCCTTCTGATATATTCTATTCAACCCAACAGCAATGAAATATTCCTTCTCCTGTGGATGTGTTATTTGTTTGAGAAGGCCCTCTATAGATTGGCTGTTTTTGAAGGAGTGTTACTTCTAACCTTAATTCACCTCCCACTATTATGCTAAAGTAACACAAGGGCCAGGGCTAGTTAACCTCTTGCTGCTGATATATTTACTCTTTGCTCAGGGTCCCGCACTTGGCAGTTATCCCTGCATGTGACTCATGTGACTCATATACACTCTGAGAGCAAAAGCAGCTGAGAGTGCAAATTGCCTGCCTGATCTCATAGGGCACTGACAGCAGTGACACTTGTTGTGTGATCAGCCCCCTGAAAGCACTCTACAGCGGTGCCATGACATAAGTGCATGACTGCAGACCACGTTAAAAGAGGCTGATCACAACAAATTAACTCTCATCTAATGAGGGGTCCAATGAAAGTTTGCAGTACCGTAGGGAACTTCTGAGAGGAGACCCCTCAGGGGATTTAGTGCTATATAAACTTTGCCTAGTTTCTCGATACCCATAAGGCTTCGGCAGCAGCTCAGTGCCTAACTGCTCAGACTGGAGCAGTACTGGGCATGCACAGAAGGCTGAACTGAATGTAGAGAACTTTCAGGCCAAACAGGGAGATCTCAACTGAGTCGAGGCACCCCTTGAACAGGTGACTGGGGTATATTGCACTATGGGACCTAAGTGCCAAAAGTTTGCCCAAGTCTTGTATTAGATGCCTGATTCCTTTTCTGGATCTGGCTCACTCATTCATATTAGAGCCACTTGAAAGTGAAAAAATTGGCTGCCAGTTCCATTAAACTAAGTTCTGGCACAAAGGTGGTACTACTCTATGCTTTGGTAAGCACAACATTTGCAGCTCAGAATGCTATTTCATGATATTTAAGCTCTGTCTACACGTTCCTCTGTCTACATGATGCAGAAACGTGGAAGAGGTTGGAAATGAAAAGTTGGGTGGGAGGCAGGAAGAAAACAACATAGATTCATTAGATTCATAGATTTGCAGCTCTTAGGAATATGCAGTAGAACAAATTGCTTCATCTAAACCTATAGTGGTTTAGGAGAGACTGATGTAGTGATGCATCAGCACTGGAGCAGAAACCTTTGTATCAATCAGCAACTGTTTTCACCTTTTTTTGTTCTAAAAGATGTTTCTAACAAAATAAAACAATGTGGCCAAATC